CGAGGGTGAGTCAACCCTCGTATAAACCCTCGTCATATTAAAACTTCTGTTGGCAGCACTGTCCTATCTGCACTTTCCTTTCAAGGCTAGTTTCCCCAGTTACTGCTGTGCAGGTGTGAACGTGTTATGTCAGTTCATTTGTAACTGCGGGGTGAGAAAAAAAATGGATGACACACTTGTGATTTGCACAAAAGAAGAGCAGCGTGCAGTAATTAATTTTTTTTGTGGTCTGAGGGTGTGCCTGGTGCCGTGATTTATCTAAGACTTTGTGTGCAGTATGGAGAAAGTGTTTTGTCACAAAGAAGTCTGTAGGAATGCAAGGGCGTTGTGATCTTGCATGACAATGTACGTCCACACACCTCTGCCCACACTGTTGACACTCTGCAAAAACCTTGTTATAGGACTATAGGGAGGTGTTAAAGCATCCTCCCTATAGTCCTAATCTTGCGCCATCGGACTTTCACCTGTCACCCGAAATATAAGAATGTGTGACTTTTTTGTCCAGGCAGTATATAACAATTATATAATAATTTATACACAATTGTATATACAAAGTTGGAAAGTCTGTATGTCTGGTTGAGCTGGATTCAGAGAGACATGCCACTATCAGAATTAAAACCAGTAGTGTAGTAACATTTGCAAGGGGCCTACCTGAATAAACTGAATGGCCAGGTTTTTCCATCAATTGATTTTTTCTTTCCTGATGACATGGGAAAATTCGAACTTTGAACTGAGCTGCCTCACCCCAGCCTCACTGCACACACAATCTGCCGAATCCTCCACCCGTTTCTTGTGCTCCCCTCAATTCTCTGTAGTAACACTGATGGTGAAGTAGAGTGCATTGGGCAGGGAGGTGCTGTAAGAAGAAGATTCCCTGCACATCAAAGCTACTGATGGCCTATACATTATGCTTCCAGTGCATTACCTGCATTTGGTCATGTGACATTAAAGAGCAAATAACTAGACAAAGAGCACGAGATGTGTTAGGAATTGTTCTTCACTTTGGTCAACAGCAACTGGGGGAACTTCTGGTTGCGATTTCTCACCTTGTACACTTTGGTGTACTGTAAATGTCACTAAGAGATTAATTAATGTCATACTCCATTAGGCACATTGCAGCAGCTATACCCAGTTTTTAATACAGTGGTGTACCAAGATCAGGGCAGTGGGGTAGGTTCGTCTGCCCATAATGGAGTGCATTGTCTATGTGCAGGCTGTTTGTCATTAGACAGAGCCAGTGGTATGGGAAGTAAACAAAGACGCAAATTATATTTTAACCCCTTCGTGACGGGAGACGTACAGTGTACGTCCCGGCACTTTCTGCCTATATGACTGGCCACGTACACTGTTATATCAGGCTTTGTAATGCTGGTAACAGATGATTCTCAGCAGTTACCAGTAATTAAAGAATGCCTCAGTATTGAGGCATTCATTAATGAAATAATTAAGCTTTTTGTAAAAGCTTCTTCCTTTCAGTAATGAAAGAATGAAGCCGTTACATGCAAATACAGGACTGCAATTTGCGATCCCCTATTTGAAAGCTGAAAATAGCAGAGAGGCAGCAGTGACTCACCTCTCTGCTATTTGTTTTGACAGCTCGAGAGCCCGATGTTTAGATACATTTCACTCAAAAGATACAATGTATATCTTTTGAGTGAAATGTATCAGTTCTGATCGTCTAGGCACGATCAAAGAGCTTTTAGTGAGATCTGAATCTGACTAAAGTCAGGATCCGTCTCTAAGGTTATTATTAGCTGTCTAATAGCCAAAAAATGTTTTTAAAAAGTTAATTTATCAAGCGGTCATAGTGATTGCTTGATATAAACTGACAAGAAAAAAAAGTTGTTTTTTTAATAAAGTGTAAAACAAAATTAGTAAAATAAAAATTATATATAAATATATTTGTTATACTATAATTAATATAAAAAATTCTAAAAAAATAATAATAATCAAAACTTGTGAAAAAATCGTTTTCTTCTAGTTTGTATCCTCATTTTTTTATTTTATTCAAACTAAGTGAGGGGTTAGGTACACATATGTGATATAATTATATAGCCCTACCTGTCCTCT